ATTATGGCCTTTTATGGGATGAAGAAATGAAGGCTCAGAAAGGCTGCTTGCCTGACATTACAAAGCTTGAGAGGGGCTGAGCTTGAATTCTGCTTGGCTGTCACTATACCGGTGACCATCAGTAATCGTTGTGTCCTGTCCTGTGGATTTATCTGCCTGAATCCTACTGACATTTGGATGGATCTTGAATTTAATTACAAAAATAATAAATCCTTAATAATAAGTTGCTTATTTGTCTTTTGTTGTCACAAATGTTTATTGCAGAACTAAAAAAATAATGAAGTTCTAGTAATTGGTTATTAGGATTCTGGATAATTGGGAGTTTATTCTGTTTTTTATTTGTTACATTTAGATCCATACAGTCTTGAAACTTCATTAAAAATGAAAACTTAGTATGAATTTCAGTTGTTAATTTAGCTTGTTTACTAAGGCTGAAGTAAAGCAGGCACTTTCTGTATTTTAGACCTTTGCTTTATTTTTTAGAGTTTTTTTTTTTTCCTAAAGAGAATTATTATTCTTAAAAATGTGGTTCCTAAAAAACACTGGAAAATACATCTCTAGTTGACAGGGAAGAGAGTAAAGTATCTTACATCTTCCTTCTTTCTCCTCTTGAAGAAAAAAGAATAAAACATCCCAGAATATCACATATACAGATGAGTTAGAGAAATCTAATCTTCTGTTCTTTTAAGTTTGCTGCATTGGCATTGCTGCAGGGGAACAACCTATATTATCTACCATACTCACTGTGTATATATTTAATGTCATATTTGTTAACAAGAAAGCATTTGAAAGCAATTACACAATTTTTTTTTTAAATCACTGTTTCCCCAATAAATTTTCAAGGTTGGTTTTATTGGTGTGTGGGATTCTACTCTGATGGTGTGCAGTTATTTTACATGAGCCTGCGACCCTTAAACAGCTCATCAGCCATGGAAGGAGTGAATTCATCACACAGGGTTTAATCTGCCCTTCACTGAGAAATTTAATTTCCGTTGTGGGACCTTGCTCAATTACATAGTATCTGCCCTGGCAATGGCAACCTAGCAACAAGGTGGAATGCTGCCTACCCTGGGCAGTGCTCGGGGTAGAAGGGCACAGCGAGATGTTAATTATTTACAGTGGTGGATTAGTGAGGCTGTGGAAGAGCACATAGTCAACGTCCACCAGTTAATTGCCTTTTGATCTGCAATGCACAAAGAAGATGTATTTATCTGAGGACACAAAAATATGCTTGTTTAATTACACATTTCTTGGTGGGTGAAAAGCAATTTGTAAAGCTGAATGATAATTAAATTTAACCTAAATAAATTATGTATTATTAGAATGATTAATTTTCTGAGTAGCATTTGAAGTTATGCAAAAAAGAGAGCTCCTGTTCAAATTTTAAAAACTATGTCCAACCTTTGTGGTCTCATATTAAAATGATCAAAGGCTAATCGTAAACCAGGCATGCACAGTCACTGCTCAAGTCACATTTGAGAGTGGCAGACATTCCCGTCATTATTAATAGTAAGAGAAATGTTAAAATCAGAGATGATTACATAGAACAGAGAGGAAACACCATGGTTTCTCATGGTTTTAACATTTCTGTTGCCTGAGAGCAAGCAAGGAAGAGAAGCAGCATTCATTAAGCACCAGCTATGTGCCAAGAGCTTTCCACAATGACTTTGTAGCAGGTGGGTAAGCATAATCGCATTCCCATTTTACCACCAAGGTAACTAAGACTTATGGGACAGCACAGGTTGCCCAAGGTGGTGAAGCTGAGATTTGGACCCAGACCTGCCAGGATCTAAAGCCCCTTTCCTTTTCACTGCACTGTAGGCCAGACCAAAGGACTTAAGGGCAGAAAGAGAAGGTCGGGTTGACCTACAGTACAGCTGGGAAGGAAGGAAAGAGGCACATGGTTGCCTCTATTTTCATTCATACCCAATAGTCCCACATCTCTAGTGATGGCTGGTTAGCTCCCCAGCTTGAGCCTCAGCTGTGTCCTTTGCCAGGGTTCAGTACATCTAGCCTTGTCTACCAAATGGAATGTCCGGCCCAGGTAGAGGACATTAGCTTGAGGGGTTGAAGAACCTCAGAGAGCTCATCCCAGGGAAGGAGGAGGCAGCACAGCGGGTTTGTCCGAGTGTCAAAGCCTGGGTGTCAAAGGGAAGTGTAATGTATAATTAAACCATGCTGAGCAGCCCAAGACTCATCCTCCTCGTCCTCTGTCCTTTCCTCTCTCCTTCCATAGGTAACAGACCTACACTGAGGTCTGAACACTCACCCGTGCTTCTCCTGTTCCCTCCCCCAGTAAATCTCTCACACAGCTAGCCCTGCCTTGGTGTTCGCTTCTTGCTGGACTTGAACTAACACAGAAGCATTGTCCCAGCATGTTACAGGTCATTAGGCAGCTCTAGCCTTTTGAAAGAAGGGAGCCTTGAGTGTCTGGTGGTTCTGGGCTTGTTTTTGACATCTGTGACTCCACCTTCACCCCAGGGACTCCTGGACATACCGGAGGCCCTTTGCAGAAGGCCAAGATACCTGACAAGCAGGTGGGGCAAGATCCCACGGAACTTGGGCCATGCCTACTTAACATGACCCCATCAGTGGCCATAGGCTAGTGAGGTGGCAAGACCTGGAAAAATTGAGGCTATAAATACACAATGAAAACATCATACTGAATTGATAATAACTGCTGTCACATGCATGATCAACCCTATGTTTAGTTTCTATAGCAAGAATGTTACAATCATTTTCTATTTGTAAATTAGGTAATATACGTGCAAAACATATTTACTGCTTGCTACGTGCCAGCCACTACACTAACCTCTTTACTTGATAACTTTAAGGCAGACACTCAATATCCATTAGCCCCCCTCTTCTATGCTAACAAAACCCTACTTTTGTTTGAAACAACAATGTGCCCAGCCCCAGGTAATGGTTTATGTTACACAATCCAAACACTCTGTAGTCCCAGCTTCTTGTGCGCTGAGGGGTGGGGGACTGGGTTATGGAACACACTTCTCCCTCACTCCCTTGAGATCTTTGCTCCAGGGTCACCTTCCCTGACCATCTTGTTTAAAATGGTAGAGCCTGGCACATAGTAGGCACTCAATACATTTTATTTTTTTGAGTGAACACATGAAAATAAAATAGGGAAGATCTCTGAAGCACGGACCAGCAAGCACAAATGCCCTGGGATGGGAACATGCCTGGCTAGTTTGGTGACTAGGAGGAGGCCAGCAAGACTAGGATGAGTGTGATGGAGGGGAAAATAAAGAGAGACGAGACCAGGTGATGGTGGGGAGCCTGAGCACATGAGGGCATGCAGGGCACAGGGAAGCCTTTGGCTCACACTTTGAGCGAGCCAGTTAGATGAGGCAGAGCTCTGGGTAGGCGAATGGCAGCATCTGACTTCCATTAAAACTACCATCTGGCTGTTGTTCAGAGAGACTGATGGGGGGGTGTCTCAATAACAGAGAGGGAGACTCTAAAAGAAAATGAAACTTATTTGGGAATGGGCATTACAATGGGAATACGAATGCCATAGTAAACTATTCATGTGCATGTACAGGGACACAAAGGAAGACAAAGGATTTTAAAGGAAAAATGATGGAGGACTGCATATAGCTTGGAGACAATTTATTTGTGGCTACAAGGATCAATAACAAGGGTGGTGCCAGTCCGAGGGTGGACAGGCAGTTGCTGGGCAGATGTTCTTGCAGAAGTACGTTTTTGTGTAGGGTTGAGATGGCGTTTGTGCAAGGTTGTGGTTTTTGTAGTCTTTTGTGATAGTTCTTGTTATCAAGTATTTGTGCATGAAAATTCTCCCTGCATGACTTTCCTCAGGTCTGTTTGTCAGAGTTTTAAACACAAGTGACTCCATTTTGATTCTGACAATTATTATTTGCCCCTTATAAAAATGCTGCAAGGTAAGTACTCTCAACCTGACTTGGTGGAAGTGAAATCTGCTTCACAGAGCTCAGTCATCTGTCTAAGGGCACGGTGGTGTTTAAGTGTTAGTATCTATCTAACCTTAAAGTGTTCCTTCCTCTAGAAAGCTAATTTATAAACCTTGGCATCATCTTTTGTCTTCCCTTCCTCATCCAGTCAGCCTTTCATTTCTATTTCCACATTAAGCTTTAGAACAGGGAATCCTAATGTTTTGCCTAGTAGGACTTCCTGTCATGAGACTCCTCCCGTTCTAAATCCATCCCTTATCTTCCTAAAAGTAAAGCTGATCATATCACCTTCCTGCTTAGCCCTTCTATTAATTCCTCGCAAATTATAATCCAGCCTCCTTACCTTGGTTTACAGGAGCCTTCACAGTCTGGCTCGAAGCTCTCCTGAAACTCAGAGGGTTTCACGTGCTGTTGTTTCTTTTCTGGGCCTACACTGGTTAAACCCACATTACAATACTGACCAGACGACATGACAGTGGGCACCATGTCTTGTTCCATGTCTAGAAAAAAAAAGCTTTCAACTTTTCACCATCAAGTACGATGTTTGGTGTAAAATTGTTTTACATGACCTTCATCAGATTAAGGGAGTTCTTTCTGTAGTTGCTAAGAATTTATTGTTGTTATCATAAATGGATGTTGAATCAAATATCTTTCTGCATCTATTTGGCATCATAACTTCTATCCTAACCAATCACTGATTTCTTTTCTACTGTTAAGTTAACCTTATATTCCCTGGATAAATCCAATTTGGTCTTCATGTGTTATCCTTTTTTAATATGCACATTTCTGTATTCAATTTGAAAATGTCCCTACAATTTATGAAGTGGCCCAGGGAAAGCACTTTTTGGAGAGGTAACCAAAAGCAACTTGACAGGGAGCAAAGTTTGATTTTCCACTTCTGTCTGGGAATTAGAGCCTCTGTGGGGTAAGAACTGGGGGTACAGGGGGTGTCTGAAGCTCTCCATTGCTATAGGAAAATAAAAATTTTGTTATTGAAAACTTTCATATGCAGTACAAAATTCAATACCTATTCAATACAAAAATTGAAACAGATTTAATTGTTATAATTCAAAAGTTTTAATAACAGTGAAATAAAAGCCTATATTTATAAATAAATCTATATATGTTCAGTTTGCTAATTCACCTTACATAAAAAATAATGAATAAAAAGAGGGGAGAAGCCCCTCAAAGTCCCCCAAACACCCCTTCAGAAAGCTTTTCTACATGATTTCCATGTATGACACCTTCTCTGCGGGTCTGATGAGGCCAAGATTGATGAGGACGGTCTTTTCCAGTTCCAAATAATTCTCGTAGTCCATTTTCAATTCATCCTCCGTTTGTTCTTTTGACTTCTGATATGTTTTCTAAGGGACAAAAGCAAGGTATCCTTATGAAATACTGATAGCTAAAAATACCAAAGGATGAGATGGGGCTGCTTTTGAACACAGCTGACACATGGCTGCTGCTCGCTGGAAGGAGTTTTCGGGAGGGTGGGAGGAAGTGGGAAGTGGGGAAGACAGGAGGGCCTTCCAACCTCTTCAAAAAACAAAAAAAATCTCCTCTTCCAGTCTTCTTTCCCAGAACACTTGCCTCCCTGATGTAGCCAGGAGGGTGAGTAATTGACTGGGGTTTGCATAATTCTTTTGAAGTGTCTCTTCTCCCAAGTCCCATCCATATGGCATAGCTTGTGGACACATAGCAACTACTACTATTTGCAGCTTTGGGCCTCCAAGCTGAAATTCCCGTTGGGAAAATTCCCATTCGTATGCTGTTAGAGCTGTAATTACTATTACCCTTTAAGAAGTGAGCTGTATCCAGACTTGATGTATGATTTCCTGGGATCTGTGGGTTGAAGTGTATAGCCATCCCTGACACCTGGCAAGCACTCATAAAGTCCAGCTTTGCTGGACTGATGTGTGATCGTCTCCTGCCCTCTATATTTATACTAATAGTGAACACTTAGTAGCACTTTCTATGCACCAGGTACTGGCTGACTGCTGTAAATATTTTAACTCATTTAATCCCCACCGTGATCCTCTGAGGCTGTTAAAATTTTTGTTCCCATTTCCCCCTTTATCAGCAGTTGCTCATAAGGAGACATTTCTAACATTAGTTGTTTTTCCTTAGTGACCTTTTTCATGTTCTAAATGTAGCAGAGGAGCCCTTTTAAATTCATTCACTTGTCCACAATCTAGTTGCAGAGAAATCTGAGAAGTGGTAGCTCTACTTAAAAGATGGTACTATGTCCAACAGAAATGCAGTTACAACAAGGAGCTAGAAAAGTTTTGGAAACTGGAAGGCACAGTACAATTTTAAGATATGATTATTATAATATTCAGGTGTTTTGAAAGTGTTTCACATATGCAAATTATTTTGGGATTATCTACAATTCTACTTGCTTCCACTGATGTAGATAATTAGGAGCTGTCGCTATGGTATTTAAACACTCATAATAATACTTGTAGATAATAGCTGAGGTAGGGGAATGGTGGCAGATTATCTCCCACAACAGAATTTCAACCAACATTTGTAAATGCACAACAGAACGAAACCGACAGCCATTTGTTTGTAGCAGTGAAACACAACGAAAAGTTAGTTAATTGGTATTTTTATACTTTGTTCCCACTAAATAATGCTTTTGAAATAAGGCCCATTGCTTTTATTGCACTAATTAGTATCTGTGAGTAAGTGATAGTGTTAATCCATTTGCTAATGCAGTACATTAAAATATTTCCACATGCTGGTGCTTTTAACAGAGACCTAGGGGCTGGCCTGGTGGCGCACTGCTACAGTGCGCTGCTTGGGAGCGCAGCGGCGCTCCTGCTGAGGGTTCGGATCCCACATACAGACCGGTTCCCACTCACTGGCTGGGCAAGGTGTGGGCGCAGCACCGAGGGTTGCGATCCGTTGCCGGACACGAAAAAAGACAAAAAGGAAAAAAAAAAAAAAAAAAAAAAAAAA